ATTAGAGTTTCATCCACAAATGTGTATATAATACATGGTATGGAGGGAGTGTCTGGAGTCTAGGAACAGAAAAAGAATTCTATTTAATTTTGGGAAAGGTATGGATCATGAGAAATCTTCACTCCTCATAGTGGGAAGAGGTTTTGACATCTATGGATCTCATACCATACGTTTTTCCATGGAAGCCTCTTATTTTCAAACCAGGAAAGTAAAATTTCTGGCTTTAAACAATTTGTCAAGACAGTGAACCCTTCCCAATACCCAGAAGATTTTCACTTCAGTAAACTCAGGGTTATCTATTTTGGATGCTCACTTGCTGGATCACTATGTGGCAAACTTGGAGACTGCCCACCTAATTCTTCCCTAGAGTTTCTACCATCCGAATTGGGCATGATGAGGATATCTAACCCCAGCTATTTTATCTATCATGCTGTGCATGTGGTGGCCCATGTTCTTTATAAGATGCTTTTGCATAAGAAAGAAATGGAATCTCCAGGAGATGCAGACCAGCCTATTTTTCCCTGGCAGGTAAACACCCTTCACAAGCACCGGATAGCTTTTAGAGGTTTTTCTTTAAAGGTTTTTCATAGAACACATACACTCATGAGAGAGAGGCAGTGAGAGGGAAAGTGAGATATGACCCCACAGAGGGTAATGGGCACACGACAATTCCTTCTACTCCATTGTCCTCCTGTGATTTTTGGAAAGCATGCACAAATGACTGGCATGAATTTCAAGCTTCCAGTTCTGGGACTTACACCATGGTCAGGAATGTAAGAGTCCACATTTTTTTTTGTTTGTTTTTTTTTCTTTTGTCACAGTGTGTGTGCACTCACCAGAGAGAGAGAAAATGATAAATCACTTCCTGGGGGAACAGTGGTGCTGCAATCTCTTTTCTTCCATTATTTTCTTGTGATTTTCGGTATGCAAACACATGTGCCCAGCATGATTTTCATGCCACTGGGTCCAGAATTTGAATCACAGTAGGTCACATGGAAAAACCCAGCCACCCTAATTACCATAATACCTGCTGAGTTATTGATTTATTTTATTTTTACAAAGAGTTTTGCTATTGAGTATGTGCACTCACCAGTGAGACAGAGAGAGACGGAGAGAAAGAAAGTGAGAAATGACCACTCAGAGGGGATGGCCATAACAGAATACCTTCTTTTCCATTCTCCTCTTGGCATTTTCAGCATGCAAACACATGTGCCCATTATGAGGTTTAAGTAGCCAGGTCCAGGACTCAAACTGTGGTCCATTACGTGTAAGTCCAGTGATGTAACCATTATGCCATCTGCTGGTCCATGGTGAGGTATTAAAAAACAACAACAAAAAAACCCCACAATCTTGGGGCCAGTGGATGGTGTAATGTTTATGTTGCTAAACTCCCACATAGTCAACCATGGTTAGATTCCAAGACCTGGTGACTGGAACTGATACTAAGCAAGTGTGTGTGTGTGTGTGTGTGTGTGTGCCCAAGATCCCAAGAGGCCTCTGTCTCTCTCTGTTTTTCTGCTGAAGACACATACCCTATAACAAAAACCTCTCTTATTTTATTTTTTTGGAGAGGTTTTTTGCTATAGAGCACGTGTGCTCACCAGTAAGACAGAGAGAGACAGAGAGACAGAAAGCAAAAAATCACCCCCCTCCCAGGGGGATGGCCATGCTGCAATCCCTTCTCCTCCATTCTCCTCTAGGGTTCTTGGGCATGCATGCACATGCTCCTGGCGTAAGTTTAAGCCACCAGGTCTGGGACTCGAACCATGGTTGGCTACATGGGAGTTCAGCGACATAACCATGACGCTAACTGATGGTCCCAAAAACCTCTCTTTAAAACAACACACAACCTATGTTTTCTTCTCAAAATAACAGAATTAGGCAATTTTTTTTAAGTTTTTTTTTTTTTAATTTTGCCCAAGGTATATGGGTAATTGTTATTCCTACTTAGAGAGTACTGCCACTAGAGACTTAGATTTTGAAATATTTGGCATGGCTCCATGGCCTGGTCTTTGATGTAGTCAGATCCTACATGGACAATCTTGTAGCTTAAATCTTGGACCAGAGATTGAGAAACCACCAGAAATGTGTGTGTCCCTGAACACATATTTGTCAGTAAAGGACAAAGAATTGCAGTATGACCATTCTCTATGAAAACAGTACGGCCATTCTCCATGAATGTTGCTTTTTTTCTCTGTTTCTCTGACCTGCACCCTCTGGAAAATTTTTAAAAATTTATTAAATAAGTAAAAATAATGTACAGTGAAATACTAAAA